GAAGAGAGTCTGCAAACAGGAGATGACAGTTGAAGTTGAGATATCGGAGCACGGAAAAGCAAATGGGAATCTGGAGTATTCATCAACAATTGTCAAAAGAAATCGATGTTTAGAAGAGGATGGTAAGGGGCCTTTAAAATCTAAGTTGAGTCTTTCAAACGCTGAGGTTGCTTTGATGAGGACTCCAGAGTTTTTGATAAATTTTGGTTTCAGTTCTCTGCAGATGTGGCAATTGTTGACAGTAGCTCTCACATCAGTGATTGAGTAAGGTAAATTTTTAGAACGGATCCAGTGGAACATTCTGGTAACACCTGGGTGACAAAGAGAAAAGTGGAGGTCTTTAAGGTCAGAAACCTGAGGGACAATAGATGCGGACACTCTGGACAAAGCATCAGCAGTCGAATTCTTGCTTCCTGGGCGGTAGACAATATCAAATTTGAAGCAGGCAAGCTCAAGACGCCATCGCAGTATCTTCTCATTTTTTATTTTGCTATTGTGTTGTTGATTAAACATAAAAGAGACTGAGCGTTGGTCGGTAAACACCTCAAAGTGTCTCCCTATAAGGTAATGCCGCCAATACTTCAGAGATTCCACTATGGCATATGCTTCTTTTTCAATAGATGAATGTCTTTGCTCTGATTGATTTAGGGTACGTGAAAAAAAGGCTATAGGGCGACCAGCTTGGCTCAATGTTGCCCCAATGGCAAAGTCAGAAGCATCAGTTTCTACACGAAATGGAATGTCATTTTCTATTGCAGCAAGAGATGCATTGGCTACATCATCTTTTACTGACTGGAAGGCTGTGGTAGCTTCCTGAGATAAAGGGAAAGAGTTGCAAGCCAAGAGGGGACGAATTTTTTTTGAGAAAGAAGGGATCCACCTTCCATGATGGGCGAACATTCCCAGAGCACGTTGCAATGAAGCAGTATCTTTAGGGACAGGTAGACTTAAGAGTGGCTTCAGACGTTCTGGATCAGGTTTAATATTTTTATTCTCAATTATGTAACCAAGTAGGGATATAGATTGAGAAGAGTAGTTACATTTTTCTTCATTTAGTGTAAGATTAAACTTGATTGCAGCAGATTTGAACCTTGCAAGATTTTCATCATGTTCCTGTTGGTTTGTACCACAAACAGTCACATCATCTAAGTAAGGGTAGGTATCTGTAAGACCTTCTTCTTGTACAATTTTATCAATTGTTCTTTGAAAGCATGCCACACCATTGGTAACTCCAAAAGGGACACGTTTAAACTGAAAAAGCTTTCCGTCTGCCTCAAAAGCAGTCATGTGTTTTTCAGAATCCAAAATCGGGAGCTGATGATATGCATTTCTTAAGTCTATTTTACTAA